TGTGCTTCATAAAGTATACGCTACTTTAATAATGAGCCAGGAGTCTTTTTTTTTTTTTTCTAACTAACTTAAGTGGGATGGATGACAATTGCTATTTGTGCAGAAGTGTTTTAAGTTCCTCTTATTACTGCAGTTTTTTACATAAAATAGTGGTTTTTTGTGGGGGGGGGGGGGAGTTTACAAATTTAGACCCAATTACCCATTTTTGCTCTTCATCTCTTAAGGTGATGAATGGAGAATCAGGGATAAAAGCATACCAAATACAAACCAAAGATTTCGCCTAGAAGGGAAGCCGTACAGATGCTCGGAATGTGGAAAGGCCTTCGCGACGAAGACGAATCTTACCACGCACAAAACAACCCACACGACTGACCACCTGCATAAATGCCTGGAATGCGGAAAGTGTTTCACCCAAAGCGCACAACTGAGCAGGCATCAAAACACTCACACGGGGGGGAAACCGTACAAATGCCCAGATTGTGGGAAAAGCTTCGTTTGGAAGGCAAATTTAGAGAGGCACCAGAGGACCCACACAGGGGAAAAGCCCTTTAAATGCTTGGAATGCGGAAAAAGATTTGTGGAGAGTTCGGCCCTGATTACGCACCAAATGATTCATATGGAGGAGAAACCGTACAAGTGTTTGGAGTGCGGGAAGTGCTTCTCGTCGAATACGCACCTAAGCGTGCATCAGAGAACACACACAGGGGAGAAACCGTACATGTGTTTAGAGTGCGGAAGGAGCTTCAGCGAGAGCAGCAATCTCGCTTCCCATCGCAGGACGCATAGTGGGGAGAAACCCTCCAAATGTTTGGAATGCGAAAAGTGTTTCAGTTCAGAAAGACACCTCAGGGTCCATCAAAGAACCCATACAGGTGATAAACCCTACAAATGTTCAAAATGTGGAAAGAGTTTCCGCATGAGCAGTAACCTCACCTCCCACCAGAGAATTCACACCGGTGAGAAACCCTACCGATGCGCAGAGTGCGGCAAATGTTTTACTCGCAGTTCTGATCTTGTCAAACACCGACAAATTCACACGGGGGAGAAGTCGCATGAATGCCCCGCGTGCGAAAAACGTTTCACTTGCCGTTCAGATCTCCTGAAACACAAAAAAATTCACACCGGTGAGAAGCCTCATAAGTGCTCCGAATGCGGGATAGGCTTTGCTCGCAGCTCGGACCTGATCAAGCATAAAAAAATCCACACGGGAGAGAAGCCCCATAAGTGTCTGGAATGTGGGAAGGGCTTCATCACGAGGACCAAGCTGAGCCTGCACAAGCGAAACCACACAGGAGAGAGGCCGTTTCCATGCCAGGAGTGTGGCAAGTCTTTTATTCAAGTCGCCCAGCTGAACCGGCATCAAAAAACTCATACCGGAGAGAGGCCATATAAATGTTTGGAATGCGGCCAAAGCTTCACGCAGAGTTATTCTCTTACTACCCATCAGATCACGCACACGGGGGAGAAACCGTACAAATGCTCGGCGTGTGAAAAATGCTTCAGTTCGAGCACGCACTTACGGAGGCATGAAAGGACACACACAGGAGAAAAGCCGCATCAGTGCTTGGACTGTGGAAAGTGCTACAGTGAGCGGGCCGAACTAAGCCGACATCAGAGATCGCACAGCGAGAAGAAGCCGTATCAATGTCTGGAATGTGCGAAAAGCTTCACGCAGAGTTCTTCTCTGATTACCCATCAGACCACGCACATGGGAGAGAAGCCCTATAAGTGTCTGGAATGCATGAAGTGTTTCAGTTCAAACACACACTTGCGCAGACACCAACGGACCCATACGGGGGAGAGGCCCTACACATGCGCAGAATGCGGAAAGTGCTTCACTTCCAACGCACACCTCTGTCGCCACGAGCGAACCCACACCAGGGAGAGACCGTTCAAATGCCCAAAGTGTGGGAAGAGTTTCAACGTCAGCAGCAACCTCGCCTCTCACCAGAGGATTCATACCAACGAGAGACGCTACAAATGTGCAGAGTGTGGGAAAGGCTTCCTTCGCAGCTCTCACCTAATCATACACGAGAGGATTCACCGGGGAGAGAAGCCGTATAAGTGCACGGAGTGCGGGAAGTGCTTCATTACGAAGATCAACCTCAGCACCCATGAAAAAAATCACACGGGGGAGAAATCATACAAATGCCTGGAGTGCGGGAAGTGTTTCAATTGGAACGCGCACCTCAGTACCCACCAGAGAACCCACACGGGGGAGAGGCCTTACACATGCTCTGTGTGTGGGAAAAGTTTCAGCGTGAGCAGCTCACTCGTGACCCATCAGAGAATTCACACCGGGGAGAAGCCGTACAAGTGCTTGGAATGTGGCAAGTGCTTCAGTTCAAGCACACACCTTCGCAGGCATGAAAGAACACACCTCAAAGAGAGGCTGGTCAGTGCATGCTGATAAGTGGGATGAGAGGATAATGTTCAGGAATCACTAAATTCTTACCAGAAATACAGAAAAGGATCAACTCTCCGATTGCTGTTTTAAAACTGCATGTGGTGGTACTGCATAAAAAAGATCAAGTCTCTTTCAAATTAAGCTCAAAGCTGTGGATTTCCCTGCAGTAAGGTATGGCTGTGAGAGTTGGACCATAAGGAAGACTGAGCGCCGAAGAATTGACACTTTTGAATTGGGGTGTCGGAGAAGACACTTGGACTGCAAGGAGATCAAATTGAAGGAAATCAACCCTGATTGTTCTTTGGAAGGACAGCTACTGAAGCCGAAGCTCAAATACTTTGGCTGCTAAATGAGAAGACTTTCAAATAAGAAGAGAGAAGAGTGGAAAAGTGACATTAGGAAAGACTGAAGGCCAAAGGAGAAAAGGAGAGCAGAAGATGAGATCGTTTGATAGTGTCAAAGGGAAAGAAATCAAAGACCTCAGTGCTATAACGTTTTAGCAGATTGTGGAATGATGATGCAATATCTTTGTTTCAGGCCTTTGACAATGAACCACACTATGTTATGATTTGCAAGCTCGTTCAGCGTCGCCTGGATAACAGACTTCATAAGCTAGGTTGAAAATGATCTTGTGTCTATCATGTTCATCAACCTTCAAGATAGGCATCCTTCATAATCAATATATTAGTAAATCATTTGATGTGACTTTAAAACAGGAAATTCTAACTGTAGACTATTGCTAGAATGGTTTATAACCTGTGAATGGCATACTAACTCTACTGTTGTGCATTATTTCAGCCCTATTTTAAGTATATTGTCCAGTTGTTGGAAATGCATTTTAAACAGTGGATATAACAGAACAGAATAACAGAGTTGGAAAGGACCTTGGAGGTCTTCTAGTCTAACTAGTCCAAATACGGTGTTCCCTGAACTTGGTGTTTTCTTGCAGATGTTTCATTATCCAAACAAGGTAACATCATCAGTGCAATAATCCTCATATAATGTGGATACATAACATCACATTCAGAGGTGGAGAATAAAGTTCACCAGGAGAACTGGACATGTGGTTCCCTTAAGAAAGAAAGCAAAAGGAACTTGGTGTACTCACTCTTCAGAAGTTGGGTAGATATGATGGCCCTCTTCAGATACTTGAAAAGAGATTATTTAAGGATAGGATTTGTTGTCCATGGAACAGGTAGCCTTCAGAAGTTATGGGAGTTCCACAGAGGTGAAATCCAGAGGTGAAATCAGAGGTTCTGACAGGTTCTGGAGAACTGGTAGCGGAAATTTTGAGTAGTTCAGAGAACCAGCAAATGCCACCTCTGGCTGGCCCCAGAGTAGGGTGGGAATGGAGATTTTGCAGTATCGCTCCCCCACCCGGCCCATTAAGCCATGCCTGCCAAGCCACGCCCACAGAACCGGTAGTAAAAAAAAATTGAATTCCACCACTGGAGTTCCATCACTGGAGGTTTTTAAGAAGAAATTAGGCAGCCATTTGTTTGGAATGGTAGAGGGTCTCCTGTTGAGCAAAGGGTTGAACTAGAAAATCTCCAAGGTGTCAGATTTCCAAAAGATGCCCTAATAGATTCATGAGCCTTGAGCCAAGTTTCAAAAGAAAACCAGTCTTTTATTAGGAACACCATTTCGGCAATACCAAATGCAATCAGATCTGAGCCTCATATGAATTATGGTTGAACGTTACCCCTGTTCCTTCCCTCCCCTCAGTCTGTGTCATAAATCACATTCTCCAACGAGATGCCCCCTCACAAGCCTGCTGTAGTAATCTGACTCTAGCCGAAGGTGTACGTGGAATGCGCTCCTCCCCCCCTTTCCTCACTATGGCAACTTTGAGTTGACACAAGGTCCCTTCCAACTCTTGTTAGTTTGTTATCACAAACATGAAATGATTTTCCTCAGTATTGCTTATACCAGGGATGGCGAACCTATGGTACGCATGCCCAAAGTGGCATGCGAAGCCATGTCACCTGGCACGTGCACCGTCACCCTTTCCACTTTCGGGCTTCTGGCACGCATGTGCCCACGGTGATCAGCTGGTCTTCATGCATGCAGCAGTGCCGGAAACTGGAAGAGCTGGTCTTCCATTTTCCGGCGTGAACGTGCGTGCCAGCCACCTGATTGTCACATGCGCGTGTGCGCCAGTCACCGGAAGACTAGCTGGCCACTGCACATGCATGCGCCAGAAACTGGAAGATCATTTTACACCCCGTGGGCTATATGTGGCCTTTTCACTATCCCTGTCCAGCTTGTGGCAGGTGTGAGTGTGAGAGAGGGGGGGTAGGGAGGGAGGGAGAAAGAATGACCTTCCCCAACACTGCTAGTTGCTCATGTGACCCTACGGGAAGAAATATCCATCTGGTTCAGTTCCAAGCGAGGAGAAAGACACTGGAAACACGGAGGCTGATTGGAAAGATGGTTTAATGACGAAGCAGAACCACCAAGCGCATGGTTCTCTGGTGCAGCTGAACACATGGAGTTGAAAGTTGGTGGCTTTTATACCTTCTCTGGGCTTTGTATTTGAGCTTACTGTTCCTGTGCAAGAACATGTATTCTATTGGGTGTCGTAGTGGTTATGTAGGGGTTATAGCTGGCTCTATTGTCTGAGCTCCCAGGTATGGTGGAAGTTTGCTGGGGATGATACAGTGAAGGCGCCTGTGTTCTGAAAGGGTATCCCTAATTCCTATTGTGGCTTAATGGCTTTTCCCTGTATTGGATCTTGGGTGATGGCTGCTTCTAATCCTACCATTCTGCTTTACAGTTTTCAAAATATCCTGCCTTGAATGGATTACCAAATCTGCATTTCTAAAAGCTGGCCTTAGCATCTCCTGAGGCTCTTAAGAAAGACTTGGAGGTTGCTCTCTGTCTCCAAGAGCATGTTTCTCCATTTCTCCTTTAGGGAAATATAATATTTTGCCTTTTTAATATTTCCCAAAATATTTCGTTCTTCCCTCAACCTCTTGGTAAAACTAATTGCACACCCTTTTTAAATGTTACATGGACTTTCCAGGAATCCTAAATATTTGATATAGGGCACATGGTTTGGATCCTTTAATACCAGAGATTAACACTTCCACTGTGTGGTATTATTATACTGTTCTGACCACATAAGAACTTAAAAATCGGTTTATTTCAAAGTAATACACTTCCTCTCAGCATTTGTATATCAAATTAGCCGATAACCCGGTGTTGCCCAGGTATTTATTTATAGGGGGAAAATGTCCAGGCCAAACGTAATTTCTAATGTTGGATTTTCTCCCTTACCAGGGGGAGCTCCCTTATGGAGTACTGTGAAGCCGTTACCATGGCAACTCCACTACTCCACAGTAGAAGCCATTTTACGCAGTACAGCAGAAGCCATTTTAAGGCACAACAGGCTGTATCTTAACAGAACACACATCGAGGGGTGTTAGGGGTGTCTTACCCCCACAATATTTTTTTCCAGAGAGTAAGTCATCTGTGTACCAAGTTTTGTTGAAATTGCTCGAAGCGTTCCAGAGTTATGCTGGAACATATATACACACAGAGCCGTTTTTAGATAGATAGATAGATAGATAGATAGATAGATAGATAGATAGATAGATAGATAGATAGATAGATAGATAGATAGATAGATAGATAGATA